GATATTGATCAACAAATTATAGTAATATCGGTATATAAAATTTTCTTAATATACCGATAACTTGATATACCGATATTTTTTTTCTCAAAACAGCTGTATCGTTACATAGAGGTTTGACTGTAGATCAGCTTTTGGTCGATATCTTGATCATATAAAAGGGTTTTATGTCTCCTAATACTATAACAGACTGTGCTCTAAGGCCCTAATGAATAGTAAATAGTCTATTAAAATTTTAGTATTCTATTTGGAAATTTGGTATCTATTACCATTTTTTTTGACTTAGTATTTATGAGAAAGAAATGGCTCTAGAATTGATTTTTATATATTGTGAAATTATTGGTATACTGGAATGTGATCTATAGCTTTTAAATTTTATTATATATTGTTAACGTGCGATTTTAGTGGATCGCTACAGTTAAATGAGATGTTCGAGTGTTTTTTTTTTTTAATGTACGTAGTAATTTACTGATTTTTTCTGAAGTTCTTGACTTATAACTGATATCATTTGATTATATTTAAACCGTAATTCTCTAAGACTTTTAGGTTTACAAAGATTCACAATGGCTAAAGTTATCATGAAAGCTTAACTGTTGCTTTAATTCACAAAGATTTATAATCACTTAGATTGCAGCTTGTTAAGACTTATGCATCACACAGACTTGTAGATTTTACTCAGATTGCAGCTTATTGCTAAGACTTATATATCACACAGACTTGTAGATTTCACTCAGATGTTAAATATCACGCTATCATTTATAGATCATACAGCAATAAATGATAAAACAGTTTATTAATAATAAAATAAATAAATAAAGATTAAAGAATTATTACACAAAGCTGAATAAAATTCTCTAGAAATAAAAGAAAAGGAAAAATATATAAAAAGAATGTTAGCATCAGGCTAGAAGAAATCTAACTTCCTACCGTTCTAACATTTACAAACCCATCCTATTTATAAAACAATTTACATATAATAATAAAAAAACTAAATAAGATATATTAACTAAATCAATAATATTTAATAAATTAACTATGTTAAGAATGTTATTAATATTAAGAATATCAAGAATGTCATTAATATCAACTATACCAATAATGTCACGAATATTACGTAATACATATGCAAATCAATTTGTAGATCATACAGTAGATCAATTCTGTATAATTGCTTGTGTAATTTCTTTAGTAGATCAATTTAGTGAAACATGCTTTGTCACATTTTCTTGCTAAAATTATCCTACAATAATACATACAGAATTTTGGTATTCACCTCAATGTGGATATCAAAATTATAATCTTGTTAGATGAATATGAATCAGCTTTGAATTTATTCTATAATATCATGAAAATATGATATATATTTTAGGCTTGTATGATTAGGCCTAGCTCAAATCACATCACTTTGTTCCTTGATTTTTGATAACCCCTTCAGAAGTAAGCAGAATAGCATAAAAGTTATTATTCATATTAGGTTTGCAATATCAAGCCCAGCTCAAATCACATCACTTTGTTCCTTGATTTTTGATGATCCCTCCTGAGGTAAATAGAATAGTAAATTTTTTTTTGATATATTATTTGGGATTAAAATCAGACTAGAATAGCTATATCAAACAGTGTAGTTCTTGATATCAGATAGGCTAATTCCTAGCCAAGTTTGATATCATCATCTAAATTTGAGTCAAATTATGCTAGAGGCTTGAATTTGATAATTGATTCATATAGCTAAAATTGATTCATAGGCAATTAGGAATCTTTCTGTATACTATTTGAAATTTTGTTTCTGAACCTTTTTTTTTGTCGTAATGGAGAGCTTGTGTAGTATTTATGCAAGAAATTGGAATATTTTAATAAAAAAAAGTAATTAACAAATTATATAAAAAAAATATGCAAAAAATTATTTTCTATTAATTTTGTTTTGTTATTTTATTTGTTTATTTGGTATCCTATTTATAACTACATTACTTTCTACTTCATTTTATTTATTTTTTAACAAACATTTTTATGAAAAAATTTTACCTTTTGAACTTATGATGTTATTCTAAAATTTATAAATATTTAATAAACACACAATATCTCAAATTCTTAAATATCACAGGTTATTAAAATCATTTGGATCAAATTGGACTTATCAGCCTACACCTTAACTGATCTATAAGCTACATTAGAATATTATCCAATTCTATAATTAATAACCTTTATTTCTTGTTCTTAGTGATGCAGGAATTGATAAATCAAGACTATTGACTGAATTTCTAAGAATAGCTCAATCTGCAGTTACAGATTCAGATGTAAAACACTAATTAGATAATTGCATTATATTCAATATTAGCTTTGAAAATGATACAATTTATGATGGAACTTTTGATAAGACTGCTTTGCAAGCTATAGATATTTGGATATTATGATAATTATTAAGACAACAAGAATCAGAATTAGACTTTAATCATTTCTAACAAAATCTTACACATTATCTTTCAAACTCAGATGTTTTGAGTTGAATATTTTATAAAGGACAGAAAGTTTCTGATTTAACAGTGTTTCTGATGATTGATGATATCCAGAAATTAATGTATTTAGATAGTGATGGCTTTAACAAATCCGGTATATTCTATAGTTACCTCTTAATAATTGCTTCAATGGTCATAAGTAATCCAACTTTTATCATTGCATATTGTTCAGCTACTATTGTAAAACCAATAGTTGATATTCTTGCAAAGTCCCAACAATTGTGTGTTTTACTTCCTTTTCATGTTCTTGGCCCTCCTCAACATGATGGAAAAAACATATTTAACATAAAGCATCCTTTGGTTAGAATTTTAGTTGAAGATGTAGGTGGTAATGGTTATACACTTGAAGCATTAGAAATACGTATTCCTGCTGATATTGATAAATGTTATATTGGGGAACTTATGCATAATATAATTTCTGATATTGCACAATTATTTTCTGAAGTACTTGATAATTCATCTCATTATGGGGCAATTTTGAAAGCAATTTTGGGACATATTCCAATACGCAAAAATGAAATTGTATCTGGAACACCATAGAGACCTGACCAAATTGCAGAAATGGGACTTATACGTTATGAAGTTGAACCAGAATAATCAATTGGTGTACTTTCATGTCCTTATGTTTGGATCTGGTTAATTGCTCGTGCTAACAAAGATGATAATATTCTTGCTAATTGGGTTTTTGATGTTTATCAAGAAATCCAGAATTATCATCATTCAGACAGAATTTTGAACGGTTTGTTTCGGACTTTCGAATTCTAAAATTGCAGATTAGCAATCTGTGTCAATTAATAAAACTCATTCAGGTGTGCAGTTTATTGATAATGTAACTTTAATTCCAAAGCATTTGGAGTTAATTTGTTCATCAGAACGATTGGATACTAAATATGGATTTGTATGGTACTATAGATGTATAGATGTTACTAAAGGTTATCTATCATTTTGTTTTGAATGGAACTGTCGCACCTGCAGGTGATTTCTTTTGTTGCATACAAGAATATCCCTCATATAATTGGATAAATGAGATTTTTCAAACCAAATTGTTATCAGCAAAGAGCAAAATTTCTCTTAAAGATTATATTCAAGAATATAATAAAGCAGCAGGGCCAGCAGATATCTTTCTATTAATCTCTACTGGAAATTGTGATATTAACTCTTTGCAATTGCCTAGTCCACGTTGTGTGGTACAGTACATAAAGAAAATTGGAAAAAATATTTTGGACCATTTGTGCATTTTCATATGCTGCTCTGGAACCGAATTCTGCACCACGTTTTTGGCTTTCTGGAATTGATGGTATTGGAAGTAAATATGCAGATCGCATTATAAAAAAAGTCCTTATTCCAGTCTCAAGATCCTTAAAAAAAATACAATAAATGTCATCCCTTTTTGCCTATTTTAAGTATTTACTATAGCCCCATTTTTATGTATCACGTGAAGTAATAACTCTAAAGAATTTGTGCAAAATATTTTTTAAATATTTACTTGAGGGTCGTTTAAAACTAATATTATCTTGTCATCATTTTCTTTACTGGTATGTCATGTCGTATAAAAAACAAAAGATATGAATATATTTAAAATATCAAAAAAAAAAATTTTTTTTTTTATTTAGAATAAAATATACAAAATATCTCGGTTCATCTAATTAATGTGATGTATTACATATATTATATAAAAGTTTTTTTTTTTCGTTATATACGATTTTACGCTTGAAAAAGAATTAAGAACTTAACGAGCGTTGCCTATTAAAATTATAATTAGATAGTTGAACATTATACTTAAATGCAGAAATATATCAGTGTCTTACCGCTTCTTTATCGACAATAATAATTCCCCCACCAGCAACTGCACTAGTAACTGATATGATATCAAGAACAAACATGGCTTTGATTGGATTTTGTTGACAATATCCCAAAGAAGTTTGTGAAGTGTTCGCAAACCACATTCCTTAAAGTTATAAATAAATATTATTTTAAATTGATAAAAATTCAACATTTAAAATATTTCTACTTACTTCCACCGTGTTTAGATTTACCGCAACTATTTCCATTTTGAGCAATACCGCATAATCCACAATTAGCCGCAGCACAAAAGTTCCATTTAGCAGTTCCATAAAATCGAGACGCATCACAAGCAACTTGAGTTCCATGGAACATTCTATGAGTAACGTTTGTCGCTGCATTATTACCAGAAATTTTCTTCTTGTATGCTTCATGTGCTTGAATTAATCTTGCTGGCATAATCATTCTAAAAATCGCTAAAATACGCGCGTTTGGAAGTCCAACTTTGAAGAATTGTCTAAAAAAAAAAAAATTGTGAGTATTTTTAAGTTTAGAATTACACCTATAATTTTGACAAAAACACTTGCTGTGTAGTCATGTAATCATGGTCGTCCAATGGCAATTTAGATATTTTAGTTACGAGTCCAGGTAACTTATCAAGATATTGTTGATACTGCAATTGTTGTACTGCAGCATTTGATCCCGGTAACTCATTTCGGCACATTTCACAAAGTGGTATCGAAGGATGATTCATGAAAGTACAAGTTGGACATTGCGTCATATTAACATCATGTTTAAATAACGAGGGTAGGTTGAAAGTTGTTTTACGAGCAACTCCAGCGATAGGAGTATAACACATTTCACATTGGGCACTATCAGCATTATTATAATAAGAACAGGCCGAGCATGCTTTTTTTGCCCGAGTATCTAGTTGATTAAATCTCCCTCCCGCTGTTCTATTTTTTTGTTCCGGCGGTGGTGTCTTGATTAATTGTGAGAAACAAATTTCGCAATGGGTCATGGAAGGATGATTACTAAAATTACACGCTGAACATGTAATCTCGTTTTCATTTGGAGGAGGTGTAGGTGGTTTTTTCGGAACCTGCACACTACGTTTTGAAATTTCCCTCGTATTTCTGTAATTATTTTGTTTAGGTGGTCTTGATCTACGAATTGAAATGGGCTCAAATTCATCAATCCAAAGTTGGTCATTTGGAGGTGTCGGATTTTGATTAAAGGTGTCATAATCTGATCTAGTGTTTTTTCGAGATGATGATGATGATGATCCTCCATAACCCGAATTATCATTATAACTTGAACTTTCATAATTATTCGATCTGTCATAATTATTCGATCTGTCATAATCATTCGATCTGTCATAATTATTCGATCTGTCATAATTATTCGATCTGTCATAATCATTTGATCTGTCATAATTATTCAATCTGTCATAATCATTTGATCTATCATTCCTATTTGAGGAGAAAGAATTATTATTTCGTCTTGGTGATGGAGGTATAGGATCCGCAAATGGATTCACGAGTTCTTCATCCTCATCCTCTTCGTATAAATCACGAAAACTTGTAATAGTAGATTTCGGTTTGTTGTGACTTTTCTTTGGTTCTTGCCTAGTTATGTTTGTACCACACATTTCACAAACGGTCTTGTTTGGGCGGATAAAAAAGGTACACGCGGGACAATGAATTTCTTCTTCTTCATCTGAAGGAGTGGATGATCGAGAAGGAAGATTAGATGACGAAAGTCTTGAATGATCGTTACCACTTGAAGAAGGAACCCAAAGTGGATCAACAGAAGCTCCCAACCAAATTGGAAAATCATCAGTTGGATTAGAACGAGAACGAGAAACCGACAAAGGTGAAGGTGGGGCATCATCAGGTTCCCAAAGAGGTGCAACTTGAGTTCTAATATTCGTGCCAAAAATATCATCATCATCTTCGAGAGAATATGGAGGAGGTTTGTTATTATTTTCAGGAGTCCAAACTCCCCATTGATTTGAAGTAGTTGTTTCAGGAGTATAATTTGGTGGTTCCCAAGATTCTGATTCTTCATAATATTCTGAACCGGGAGCATAATTGTTTATTTGACAGCTTGTACTACAATAATTTAGTACAGTCCCATTCCTTTCCCTTTTGACTTGCTTATTACAACCCGGTTTTGCACATATATTATCCTTTCTCGATTTAAATATCTTAAATGACTTTAACATTATTATTCTTTTACCCAATAAATTTTACTTTTTGAAAATGTTCGTCTCCCTAAATAAAAAAGGTTCCCAAATAATTGAGAAAAAAAAATAAATAAATAAATAAATTAAAATAAAATATATACACCTCTTATAAAAAGGTACAATAAATGGAATCGTTATCGCTGATATGATGATAAAAAATCTGCACAAAAAAAATAAAAATAAAAAAATAAATAAAAAAAAAATAGGACGATAACTTTTTATATGTTTTTGTATAAATCATTTCTCTTATAGATAGGACAAATTTGGTATGACAAAGAACATGAATAATCGACATATTTGTGTTTCCTTGAAACAAATAGGTTAAACTCGGCTGAAATCATGTCAAAATTTTACCAGGAGTTACCGAAATTAGAAATGTGACAATTTATGAACTTATGCGGTGCTCAAAATAAAATTTCCAAATCGAGAGACAAAACCCAGTCATACAAACGAAAAGAACGCCCGTAGCATGTGCTATATTTTTACATTTTTAAGGTCATCTACAAAATATTTATTATTGCATTGCTGCGGTATCAACGATTTTATTGACATAAAAAGGAAATAAGCGTTTCTAAGGAATTCTCACCTGAGTCAATATTAATGCATAATAGTTCAACTTAATTATATTTGATGTATTATTCGCATGAATCATGGTTAATTGGTAGTACTTAGATTAATTGAAATTTGGAATATAAAAGAGAATGAAATCGTATTTCCTTCTTGAAAAAAAAAAAAAAAAAAAAAAAGGAAAATTGGTAAGGAGAGCCAGCCATACCTGAATTCTTCAAAGATTCTCTTTTTTTCTTTTTTTCTTTTTTTAAAAAAAAATAAATAAATCCTTTTAAGATAAATAAATATGGCACTATATCAATCAATAAACCCATTAAGGAAACCAAAGATTCTAACAATAACATTGCTCCTATTTTTCTTTACGCTTTATATAATAAATTCGGATGTTCAAATAAACGATTCATCGGAAGTCCCACCAATAATAGATTTATATGCACCTGATGGCACATCATACTTGACCACAGAAACACCATCATATGGTTATAAAAATTACAGTGAATTCATCCCAGGAGGTCTTCCATTAATACTTTCCATATCTCATGGAGGTCACTTATTTCCTAAAGAAATTCCTGATAGAAAGAAAATGATTCCAGGAATGGTAAAATCTAATGACATAAATACCCAAGAAATTGGTCATTTATTATCACAAAGAATCACGAAAAAATTTAACGGAAGAAAACCCTACATGGTAATTAATCATTTGGGAAGGAGTAAAATTGATGTTAACCGTCCTTTAAAAGAAGGAATTGAAATTCAAATGAGTAATGAAACAGATATTGTTTGGAATGATTATCACAATTTTATGAAACGTGCCGTGGATGAAGTTGAATTACGTTTTGAACGTGGGTTGTTAATTGACATTCACGGTAAGTGACAGTTCAACAAACATTTCTCCTTCCTTTCATGAGAAGTAAACTTGAACGGAATTATTCATACTAGGTCACGGTCATTCAGAAAATTACATCGAATTGGGATATGCAGTATCGCTAGAGTCCTTATTGATTTCCACCAATGAACTAAATACCAACAATGAAATTGTTTCGGGATCGAGCATTAGAGCATTATGCGCTCGTAAACACAACGAGCTAAGTTTTTCGGAAATATTAAGGGGAGAATTTACTTCGCTTGGCGGAAAATTGCAAGATCTTGGGTATGACACGATCCCTTCGCATGTGCATAAATATCCATTACCAATTGAAAGGTATTTTCATGGAGGTTATTCCGTACAAAGATACGGTTCAAGGAACAATGAGCATGTTGTCGATGCGATACAATTGGAGTAAGTATTCAGCGTTAATTTTCACGTTGACCTTTGCAAATTTTAAATATTAGCTCTATCTTTTAGATTACCAAGATTGCTGAGACTTGGAAATAGGAGATTACGAGAGAAGTCCGTTAAAGATTTGGCTGAAGCTCTCAGTTGGTTTATCCAGACATATTATTTTCCGGAAATTCATTAATAAATTGTATAGTTTATAAAAATGTTATATATTATCGTTAATTATAATAATTTTAGATTTTTTTTTTTAACAATAATTAATGTGGTTTTTATTATGTTGTATTTATTTATAAAAAATAAAATACAAAAGATATTCTTTATTTATTAATATAATAAAATATGTCTTATCATTATTTTTCAATAGTAATTACAATGGAGGATAACCATGAGGAAATCTGCACCAGGAAGCTAATAAATAATTAAGTATAAGCATATCAAAAGTTATGAGAAACAAAAGGTTTTCAAGCGATGATGATGAGTACGAATATCGTTTTTAATAGGCAAAGGTGAAGCTTCTGGAGTATTAAAGTGCGGTTCTTCAGGAAATTCATCATTATTTTCGGTGGTAGTAAACAGTATACAACTAATAACATCGTCTGCGCCACAAGTCGAAATTTATCCAAATTTCGCGTTTTAATGTAAATTTAACACAAATTGGTTGCAATGACAAGTTTTTATATTATCATCTTTTAATTCTTTATCGGTTAATGTAAAGTAGCTTTTTTGATTTGCACTTTTGAGAATAAAAAAGTCATTGAAAATTTATCATAATTTAAATCAGATAAAAATTGTACTAATTGTACGGGAACTTTTTTTCAAGAAATTTCGTCAATCACATGAATTAATAACTTATTTGAGATTAAGTTTTATCAAAATTTTCAATTTATTAAAATTTCGGATATTTGAATATTTGCTTGAAAAAATTATTAGAGGATCAATTGATTATAAATCAAAGATGTGGTCTTTTAGTAAATGGAGAACCAGAGTACCCATGATACCCATACCCATCATATCCATATCTATACCCATCGTTCATACCCTGTAACCACTATATGGACGATAATTATAAGGCCGCCTCCATCCGAAGCCAGGATAAGATTTATGATAATATCCAAGAAATATACGCCTGTTTATTAACAATTCATTATTAAATGTGGTGTATTGTTTAATTTCTTTTGATACCTGAGTTCAGGTTTCTTCGCCTTCCATATCATATACATCGGGTTCTTCGTCTAAAGGTTCTGGAACCTTTTCAATCTCTTGCTTGTTATTTTTTTCATTTGGAGAATGTTTGGTTTCAGATCTGGCATTGTTGACGGTTGTGGGAATTGAAGTTGTGAAAGAAGAGAGGATGAAAAGGATCAAGAAACGTGTAAGGGTAGGGAAAAGAAGATTTGATTTCATTTTTTAAGTTTCATTTTTTTTTTATGTAAAGAAAATTTCTGTTTTTTTTGCTTTGGACGCAAACTTTTTTTTAATCTTTACGATAGAATCATTGATGCTATGCCAATCATAAATAAAAGCCAAATTTTATGTTTCCGTACTTTTTTTTTGTTTCCTCAAATTGTTATGAAATGTAAAAAAGTATTTTTATTTTTATCGAAATTATGGACACATTCTAAATAATCTCCGAAATTTTTATAGGTTCGAACTCAAAGCAAGTAATAACTTTAATTATAGTATTAAAAATTTTATACATCTTCCGGTTCTTTTTCGCAAAGCATCCACCTTATTTTTTCTGATGCAAAATCCTCATCACGCACATAAATTCAAAATCCAATTTTATTAGCGTTTGCTATTTTAATTCTACTGAGCAAATAAAAATATTTTGTACATATCTTTATCCGAATTTAAGTGATATATGACTTTTTTCCTCTTACGATCATGTAGTCTAATAAAACCGTGTCCCGTGATTTTGGTCACGCACTTAAAATCCTACCACAGTATAAATACGCCACTTATGTCTATTTTTAGGGGCAGAGCGTAATAATAACCCCAAAAAGATATGTTAGCCATAGCATATTCGTCATGTTTTTTCCCAAAAGTTCTCCGCTTTTCAGCTTTTCACGAATTAATGATTAACCGTCCTTGATTTGCATCCTAAAGTATGAGGTTAAATAATATGATCAAACTTTTCGATTTTTTTAACCTTTACCTTTCTTTTTATATCAGATACATAAGTACTTTGAACGAAAAACATCGGAATGAAATATTACTGATTTCCTCAGTAACTGTAATATCGATTCGTTTAGAAAAAAGATACAGTGCTACCTTTTGTCTCTTGAAAGTATCGTCAGTACGGAGGAATGACGAAGACGCGAAAAGGCACAATAGCTGATTATGAACTACAAGCAGGCAAGTGCAAAGAATTTTTGCGTAAAAATTTTTGTAGATAAATGGCGTAGTAGGAGACCCTACGAGCTTTCCTATCATTCAAGTCCTACGAGCTGAGCCACAAAGCTATTGGGGCACAGGTGACCCTACGAGCTTGCCTGTGTTCAAGTCCTACGAGCCGACCTGACAAGAACACAGATGACCCTACGAGCTTGTCTGATGTTAAGTTTTCGAGCAAAATCATGAACACAGAGCTTGTCTGATGTTCAGTCTTGATCCTGCCTGGGGGATAAAAATCAGGCGGAATACAATATTTAAGAGTAATGCTAATCAGTGAACACCATTATTGGTCAGAATTTGGCCATCATTTATTTCAAGAATTTGTAGGTCTTGATTGAAGGGCGTAAGTATTTATTATTTTCAATTATACTATACAGTTCCATAGCAGAACTTCTAACACATTTTTTTTTTATTCTTAGCATAGAAGTCCCTGTACTGGCTTCGAAGTACAGAAAAAATTACGGATATGATCATGCTATAGAGTAGTTGATGGAAAACATGCGGATTTGTTGGTAATGATGTGGAGAACTGGTGAAGAAATCTTTGTCGGGGAACAAGCTGGGCCACCTAGTCAACCTGACCTCACAAAGTTAGCAATGGATTCGTTCAAATTGTATCGAGAAATGTGAAATTGTCTGAATGTTAGAATCTTACGAGCTATGGGAAAAGTGGACGTAAATTATAATAAGCGTGTAGTCTTCAGAATATTAGGTTATCTTTTTGAAATTAAAATGCTTATAATGTGAAAAGATGGTGTGTACGTGTACAAAGAATTTGGAAGTTTAAATATAGTTCTATTCCAGACCAAATTCCTATGATGAAAGCAGATATGTTGAAATTACTGGAATTTATGGTAAGTTTCATATTTATAAATATCCTTAATCGTGATTTATTCTGAATTAATTCTGTTATAGACGATCATTAAAAAACCGAAATGGAAAATACTGTGACAAGAGAATATAATAGTGATTAGAGCTTACTGATTTTCTATTCGAATAATATTCAAATTATTCAGATCCCTATTCGAATATTTGCCGAATGACTAATATTGATGAATAAAATCAATTTATTCGAATATCGTTTACTCAACGAATAAAATTAATATTATCGAATAACTTTTTATTCGCCGAATAAAAATACATATAATTATTCATCGAATAAATTTTATTTGCCGAATAATAAATTATTTGAATTTATAAACTTGAACCTTTATTCAAAACAGTTTATTTTATTTTATACGACTAACTGATCAAAAAACAAGACTACAACCAATATTACTACAACTAATATTATGTAAATCACTAAAAGCTAAGTAAAAATAAAACTTTTTTGCACCCAGAAGTTTTTATCCAACTACTTATTTGTTTTTTGGTTTAATATATCAAATAACTTCATATTGCGTTTTAGAAATAACATGGATCCTAACAACTCGGGTTTTAAACAAGTACGACGTGAAGATAAATAAAGACCAGCGTCAGAAAATAGTCTTTCACTTTTTACAAATTGGGAATCGACAAATATTTCATTGCCAACCGGGATAAAATTGGAAATATATTAGTTCGAACTTTCCATCATTCTAATGGGTCACACCCTTGCATTTCTTTAGGTAAAATTAAATACCGAGCCACTTCATCAGACATATCACTATCATCATCATCATCGGAATCTTTATATATTCCAAGCAATAAATAATTAATTTGATGAGGATTTCGGTTAATATTTGGTGATTTATTTAATATTGGTGATTCAGGTGAATTAGGTGAATTAAATGAATCATCAGATAGATTTTTCCGCAATAGCAGCTTGTTTAGCTCGATATAATTGTTTAAGCTTATCAATAGTTGTATCACATTGTGTTTCAGTAACAAATTTGAGTTTTTTGAACTGAAGATCTAATAAAGCTGCAAGTAGTGTAACTTCTTTTGGTACATCCCAATATTGACACATGCTTAAATAGATGGTGGCTTTAACCCGTTCTATAATACCAGTAATATTAACTGGTGATTCAATAACCCGACGTTTTTTAAATCGTGAATCAACATTATCACGAATAATCCGTTGGCTACTATTATTACGCTTACATTATATCTTCGTCCACGACCATGTGATATAATAAGAGGTTGATTGATACGAACTGCTGGTTCTACAATTCCTTCATTATCTGAAATTATTTTATGATCTTGTTCAGCTTCTTCAGGTTCTCCATATAATAAAGTTGCATAGTAATTTTCATCCTGACTTTCTGGTAGAGCAACTTTTTTTTTGAGATAACACATTGTACAATAAACCATGTTTAATATAGCATATGAAGCACTTGATAACATTTTAGTTGCCTCATAAAAAGGTTCCAGTAAAGTTAACATATTGGAAAGAAAACTATAATAAATAAAGATAATAATTAATCAATTATTTAATATAATATAATTATTTATGGATATTAAAAATTACCTCCATTCAGATTCAGTTAAATTAACTTATTCTAAATAATCACCATCATCCTTATCATCTTTATCTGATGATATTTTTAAAATAGTAATCAAATAGAGGATTGTGCGTTTTAATTCAAATAGAAGTCTTTATGCAAGGTAAGTAGAATTTCACCTAGTTTTAACATCAAGTAGAATTTCATATACCTTTAGGTAATTTAATTTTTGTTGAGCATCTCTAAGATTTTCTGTCTGTTTAAAACTACCTCTAAAATATAAAATAAGATTTGTGACCCACTTTTTAAATATTTTAGCAGTGCTAATATATTTAATTATATTAAGATAAAAAGTAGTGTTCCACACAGATTGGATCAGATCAGATTTGGGTAAAATCCAATTCGATCTGAATCCGAAAAATCCGAATCTGATTCGATCTGAATCTGACAAATTTGAATCTGAATTCATATCCGAATCTGACAAATCTGAATCTGACAAATCTGAATCTATATTTGTATCCGACAGATCAAAAAATTTTTTAATAAAAATCCACCTTTGACATTCGGAATGGCGTTTTAATGTTAAAAAACAAAAATTTTGTTGTTTTTTTAACAAAAATCCGCCTTCGACGTTTGGAATGGCGTTTTAATGTTAAAAAACAAAATTTTTTTTTTTTAACAAAAATCTGCCTCTGACGTTCGGAACGGCGTTTTAATATTAAAAAAACAACAATTTTGTTGTTTTTTTTAACAAAAATCTGCCTCCGACATTTGGAACGGCGATTTAATATTAAAAACAACAATTTTGTTGGGTTTTTAACAAAAATTCGCCTCCGACGTTCGGAACGGCGTTTTAATATTAAAAAAACAACAATTTTGTTTTTTTTAACAAAAATCCGCGTCTGACTTTCAGGGCGGCATTTTTATATAAAAAATTAATAAAAATTCATTTTTTATTAATAAATGTCGCGTCTGACTTTTGGGGCGGCATTTTTATATAAAAAATTAATAAAAATTAATTTTTTTA